CCCCCCCCCCCCCCAAAGACAAAAGAGATAAAGTGAGCCGCCAGCGAGGCTGTGCTTAAGTAATAACCTGCTGCTGGAGGACTGGAGATGAGGGGCTGTGAGGGAGGGCAGCTTCACTGAACTGCACCACAGGCACCCAAAATCTCTGCAGGCCAGTCCGTCTGCCCATCCCTGGGGTGCAGCTTCATCTGAAGGTCATGAAGCTCCTTGATTCTCCTCCAGGTGGCTGTACTGAAAGGAAGCCTCCCCTAGGAGGGAGCACACCTGAGTTGTAAACGCTTTTTGTACCAGAGAGTGATTGTTACAGTTTTCACAATAATTATGAGCCCTAAAGTTCAGGTGCGTTTATGTAATGAGTTGAAGGGTTGATACATAAAAGGACCGAGGGGGGCTGAATAATCTGAAAGCATTTTTGTGACTTTCTTGTGAATTTCTTATGTGTCAAGGTGTGTTTTTGTTTTAAGTGCTTTGGCGAAGGACAGGTGCATTAGCTTGATGTTGTGTGTTTTTAATGTGTCTTATAACTGATATATTGCTCTGTAGAATATTGAAATCTGAGTTATTTTTTTTCTGTTTGGTTTCTTTTTTTTTTTCTTCTCAAATACAGGGTGAAATAAGAGCCACCAGGTTATTAGTACAAGACAGCGGAAAGGCACTAAGTGAGCCCATACAGAATGATCAGGTATTTCGGAGCACGACTTATTGGAAACAGATGTGTCTTTTTTCATGGCTGAAATGGTTGCTATTAGTATAAGATCTGGCAGAAAGAACACAGAGATTCAGGTGGACGGGATATCACAAGAAGAGCTCATTACTACAGAGATTTTTCTAATCTGTGAATCTGATAGAAATTTCTTGGGATGACTGCTGATGCCAAATTGCATTATTGCCTTAACTATTGGCTTAACTCTTCCCATGTGGCATTTAGTACCTTGTGTGTCAAAGTCTAAAAGGAAAAATAAAAACTTCTCTGATTCCAGAAAAGCTGAAGACTTAGCATAAGTATTTAGGCTTTTAGCCGTATTTAAGTATTGTTGTTTTCTGTTTTAAAATATCTACTACCTTAGCTTTTTAAAATTAACTTTCTGTTCTGCCTGAATGTGTACTTTGGTGCTGTTACACAGCACATGGGATGTAAGTTATATTCAACAAGGAGTATATGGAGAGAAATTTTAGGGAAAAAATAATGAAGGGGGTGTATATATATACACGACATTCTGTATGAAAGTAGGTTATTGGGAAACAAAGATATAATAAATTTAGGTAGAAGATTTTTACCCAGTCTCTTCTGAAACTTGATTACTAACTTAATTTTCAAATTGTTTAGACAAAACGAGCCTTCCTGCTAAGCCTGGTAAGTTTACAAAATATTTAGAAAGTTTTTTTTCTTCTTTCTTATTTCAAGTATAGCAAATGTGATCTAATTTGACTTTGTTTTTTTTCTTTTAAGTCCAGTGTACATCCTGATACAGACAAGATAATTCCTGCTGTGTTCAGACCTCCAGGTGAGTCCCCTTAAGAGAAGTTTTGTGCATGTGACAGAAGCATCAGAGAGGAATAGCTCATAGTAAATAGCCACTGTGATATTACAGTGATAGTCTTCTCCCTACTGAAAAACAAAGACTGTTCTGTCAGTTGCATTGTCATTTTTGTTGAAGGTTTATTTATTTACTCCTACAGTCCTCTTGAGGAATTTTCCCACAGTTCAGCTGGGTGGAAACAGCCTGACCAGTCTCTGGTTTTTGTCACTACAGAATGAGTTCCCAAATCCCTCCACACGTGAAACAGCCTACTATAAGCTACATTTTCACTTGATGAATGTGGCCACTGTATGAATTCACTTGCTGTGGTGGCAGATAAAGTCTGCTTGGGGTGATGTTTAGGGAGCCACAGGTTGTTCATCAGATATGACTACACTTAGTCTATTTACTGATTACCTCGTGTAACCACTCCCAGCTGTGACAGCCTTTGTTGCCACCTGCTTCTTTTTTAAATAGAGGCAGGAGAAGCAAGTTGTGTTCAAAACTTGGTTATATAGTTTCCAAGTAGCCAGGTGGAGTGCAGTTCACTAGGGGTCCTTTAGGCTATAAGCTGTGACTGGGTATTCTGGCTTCTTTAATAAGGAATGTGAGACAAAGGTGGGGGTTTTGTGGGCTAATGTTTTACTTAGAGCTGAAACTAGAGGGGGGAAATTAGGGGAATTTTCTGCTCAAAATCTAGACTTGGCAGTTACTATTACTGAAATTAAATTTTCTTTCTTTTTAGCCTTCCTGCCCATATCTCTTCCATTGGTGAGTAATCATGAAAGATGCTGGTGTACCCCAGGGCTTACATCTTTCCAAAGCCAGGGGTTGAAGGGAGGGAATAGAAGGTTTTAGGTTTCTTAGTTGTATTTTCAGCACAAGCTGAGTAATCTAGAAATTGAGCCCTTAGGGAATCTCATTGGAAGTTCAAACCTTTTTGCTACCTTCCTTCAGCAGTATCCAAAGAGATTCTTCATGTGTGAAGGTCAGCTCTCTGCTGCAAGGTGAAATTTGCTAGGCATTGAGAGCAAGGCCTAGTTTTGGTCTGTTTAACCTCAAGAAAATTGGAACTGCAGTAGGAAGGAGTTAGAGCCTTGTGTTCTGTGTTTCTGACCCAGAATATGAATTTTTTTCTTATGTAAATTGTGCATTTGCAAGTAGGAAATGGTGTTGTCAAGAAATTACAAAACATATAAAAATAATCTCTCATTACAGTGCTCAAAACTGCACCATTTTGTTTAATAAAATTTGTAGCTGTAATTATATGCACCCTTATTCATTTAGATGTATTTGTCTTTGGTTTTGACATATGAGTAAACGTGCTGAGATATGTCATTCCATCTAGAGATGACAGCAGGAATTTACATGGCACTACTAGAATGTATAATAAAAGTCTTAATGGCTGTTAAATTCATTAAGAACAGGAACAGAATTAACAGAAATACTTCTTTTTGGTATTTACAGCTTAACGCTCTTTCATAGATGTGGTTAGATTTGACGCTGTCATTAATAACGAAGGTAGTTTATCCACTGATGTTAAATGAATTATCCTTCTCTGAGGCGTTGGGCATTCCCTGCCCTCCTCTTATTCAATATTTGCCTTATCTTGATTGACTCTATCCTTTAAGAGTGCTCCCCAGCTGGCAGGCCAGACCTCAAGGAAGGCTGTGATTTATTAAAACTGAAGTTCTTATTCACTGGCTTGAGTTGGGAAGTAAATCCTAGAAACTTTGATCTTAGATCAGGTAGATCTAGTATTTATATCCCCACTAGCCAAAACAATCTGACCCTTTCGCATTCGCTACTTTAATTACGTTTTTATTACCTTAGTTATTTTATTTGCATATGTTTAAGCTTCACAGATATAAATGCTTTTTTGATTTTGGGTAAGAAAGCATCTTGCCCAAATATTCTTGCACGCAGTGATTTAATCACTGTGCCTCTGTGTTTTGTATTGGATAAAAAAAAAGTGTGTATGTCACACGTGTGACAAGACAGTGTGTCAGCCTAGGGGCCAGGCCAATGGCTTCAGGTGCTGCCTGGAGCTTTTGGTGCTGCTGCAAATAGTAACGTAGCAGTTCTCTCCGTGCCCACCACTGCTCACCAAAAACTTCTGGACTCATCCAACCTCATTTTCTTGTGTGGTTATTTCTCTTAGGTTATTGCTTCGTCGTTTCAGCTCCAGGCAAAGCAAACTTTTTTTTGCCAGGTAATTACCTCTTCCTTTCTACATTTACAAGCCTTCCGGTCTCAATCCCAAACTCATTTTTGCTTATAATCTCTCCTTCCTGCAGTTCGTGCTTCACGCTTATACCACAGGATTCACTCTGTTAAATGGAAATGGTACCACAAAGGCTGAAGTATGTGTCAGTTTTTATTTTTTAAATCGTTTTACTTATACAAGACCATTTTGAACACGATTTACAAGTGTTTTACAAATGCACTTACGGAGTATGTTTCTTCTGTCCTTCCTAGGAGTATTCAGTTCAACAAAAGCAGATCTTCTATGGATTGGGAGCCATTTCCTATGCAGCATGTATTGGTGTATGTATTTGCTCAATGGTTGCTTTCCTAATAAGCCCTCCTGAGAAGGGTTAGGTGCTGAGATAATCACACTACCAGATATCCTTCAGAATTGAGCTTTAATGCTGTGCTCTGATGTTTTACCCCATAACTGTTGAGAATAAGAGTTTTCCTGATCATCTGTCAGCCAGTACCTTGCTTAGCTTCCTCTGACGCTTCCTCTTCTGTCCTTTTCTTTATTATTCTGTAAACTTAGAAAGTGGGTGGTGAGAGGAAATGGCCAGGGTTTACAAACGCAGAATAACTCATTGGGTTCCTTACTCTCCACACTAAACAGTGATTTTCATAAGCCTTCTGGCTGAAAATTATGGCTGTTCCTGCTTTTGTGAGATGGACTTTCACCTCTGTCCACTGGGCAGCACAGTTGGGCCAGCAGTGCTCAGGACTTCCCAGAGGTCTGAGGAAGCAGCTATGCCCAGGGGTGACTGTGGAAGTATTTCCCCTTTGTCCTCCAAGGGAGACTCAGTGCTAGCTGGTGTCCTGGCTACTTAATCCTAAATGGAGCTTCCTGCCAGTGTATTATGGGAATATGGAAACTGCAGAGAATTGGGAACAAATGCACAAATGCCCCAGGTGTCCTGCTTGGGGGAGAGAGCAGTGTGTGTCACAAGGCAGTTGGACAGGTGTCCAAGGAATATTAGTCAGAGGTAATTGTTTTCCTTTTTCTCTCTTTGTATTCATACTGCTATTTCCTATACATAATGATGTTTAAATTTTTTTATCATAATATTTTGTATTCTTGTCTAAAAGAGTGATCACAAATACCTTCAGTGACTAGAGAACATAGGTATTCTGTTGGAATGTTAACCCAAGGCATTTGTATATTTTTATAGGTGGTAACTATGTACTAAGTCATGCATTTATTTTCCTAAACTGTAGTATGTGCTGAAATACTGCATTTTTTAAATAGGTTTCTGTTTCCTCCCAATGCCTTAGGCTCTTCCTCTTGTCTTCATGAATCGATACACACTGAAGAGTTTGTTTACACAATTAGTTGTCAAAAAACTTCTACCTGCCCCTCTTCTTGGTGAGTATAAAGAAACGGTAGGTCCTGCAGCTGGTCTGAGGGCCCTTTGCTGCCCTCATCTGACTGTAGAATTTGCTTGTCCTTGCACGGATGTGGTCTGGCTGTTTCCTAACCTCCTTCTCTGGCTGCCTTTGCTGGGTACCATCCTTCCTCTGTGAGAGTTCACTCCCACTGATCAGTGGAGCTGACTTTTATTTGGCACTTGCTGGTTTTTAGTGTTGTTGCTGCAGAGCACTCTTAGAATCATAGAATCATAGAATTTCCCAGGCCAGAAGGGACCTCCAAAGGTCATCTAGTCCGACCTCCCTGCAGTCAGCAGGGACACCCCCAACTAGACCAGGTTGCCCAGGGCCTCATCGAGCCTCTCCTTGAATATCTCCAGGGAAGGGGCCTCAACCACCTCCCTGGGCAACCTGTTCCAGGGCTCCACCACCCTCACAGTGAAGAACCCTCTCCTCATCTCCAGTCTAAATCTGTTCCCCTCCAGCTTGAAGCCATTGCCCCTCGTCCTGTCACTGCAGGCCTTTCTAAACAGGTTCTCCCCAGCCTTCCTGTAGCTCCCTTCAGGTACTGGAAGGCTGCTATTAGGTCTCCCCGGAGCCTCCTCTTCTCCAGGCTGAACAACCCCAGCTCCCTCAGCCTGTCTTCGTAGCAGAGGTGCTCCAGCCCCCTGATCATTTTAGTGGCCCTTCTCTGGACCCGCTCCATCAGGTCCATGTCCAGGTTCTCTTCTGACCTTTGTATGCAAAGACATACAACTGTTTCTCCAAAGACACCCAGGGATGGAGTTGGCGTTTTTCTTTTGCTTGGAGTTCTTTTGCTTGGATGTTATACCTGAAAGGATCAAGAAGGCAGTAGCACTTGAACTGGCACGCCCTGGTGTGGCACATACATGGCACCAGAGTGTGACACAGCTCTAGGTGTGCGCTGGCGTGGTTCCTTGCTCAGCCAGCAGCAGCCCCAAGCTACCGACCTGCTGACAGTGTAGAAAGTGGGAGTTGTTACAACAGAATATCATTAGACTTACAAGGTAATGGGACTCATTTCATTACTGGAACAGCTCTACTGGCATGGTGAAGTTATACCAGGACAAGTTTAACTATTTGATGTCATTGTTTTTCTAATGGACTCATTTCATTACTGGAACAGCTCTACTGACATGGTGAAGTTACACCAGGACAAGTTTAACTATTTGATGTCGTTGTTTTTTCTAATCGAGTGTGACACGGCTGTGGGTGTGCGCTGGCGTGGTTCCTTGCTCAGCCAGCAGCAGCCCCAAGCTACCGACCTGCTGACAGTGTAGAAAGTGGGAGTTGTTACAACAGAATATCATTAGACTTACAAGGTAATGGGACTCATTTCATTACTGGAACAGCTCTACTGGCATGGTGAAGTTATACCAGGACAAGTTTAACTATTTGATGTCATTGTTTTTCTAATGCCATTCAAAGAAGTTTTTGGCTTTTCCTAGAGGGAAACTAGTAAAATTAAAACAAATGTCATCTCCTCTCTTCCAAGTTATGTGAGGTGGCTACTCAAATCTTTCCAAGGATCTGCATAAGAGCTTTCTGACTTGTTTTCCTTGGAGCAGGTGTTAAAATATGCTTTGATTTTCTTAAGTATAGAGAGAAACCTGAGGGTAATCAGTTAGTATTATCCCAGCAATTGACAAGTGCCGTCTGTTACACTGATGTTTTTATTGAACAATCCTGCCAAAACCAAACACAAACCCCTCTCCTTTCTCTTAAGAACAAGGTACTTTTGGTTTGAGCTGGATGACAGTGATTGAAAGCTCCGAGTCCGTAATGATAAAGCACCTTTAAGATTGGGGCCTTAAAATCTCGCTCAAGCTTCTGAACCAAAAATTAAGATCCCAAGTGGATTTTTATGGGGCAGTCTCTTCTTCAGCTGCCGGGTTATCCAGTTGTGAACTGTTGAACTGGAAATGTGAAATGCACGTAGTTACGAATGTTACTGTTGAGATAGTCCTCTTGGCTATTTCAAAGCAAAATCCTCTTTAACTCTGCAGGCTTGACGAGTGCATTCACTGTGGCTGTGGTGAGAAGCCCAGAATTTGAGAACGGAATTGAAGTGATGGACAGGAATGGCAAAGTTGTAGGAGTGTCACAGAAAGCTGGTGAGAAGGTAGGCCAGGGGGTGGAGGCCCCTCTTGATTTGCCTTTTATTCCCTTCTAAGAAGGGAATGTGATGCTGAATGTGATGCTGAGAGTAGACAGAATTCCATACGTTGAAATGAGGAGTCCCAGATCAGGTGCTGGATCTTTGGGTGGGCTTAGACTAGGTCTCTGGAACCAGGTTCCACAACCCTTGTGTCTTCAAGGGTTGGTGGCCTCCACAGACCAATATACTGAGTGCCAGAGGTGAGCCACAGAGACACCAGCACAGGAATCTCTGCTTTCCCTGGTCACCTCTGAAGGAGACAACACTCTTGGACCTTCTTCTGATGGGACACCTCAGAGAAGAGCCCTGTATTGTACATATCATGTGCACCTTCCATAGTGGAAATATTACTTTTGGGAGTGCCTCCCAAAGGGCAATGCCCTGATCTACAGCATGCTCGTGCCTTTTATCCTTGGGCTGCAGCTGCTGATCAAGCTGTCTCTGTGCTTGCTCCTTGCCTTGCTCATCAACATCCTCTGTAGGGCCTGGCATGGGAACTAGAGCAAGGACTTGTATTTTATGTGCTATCAGTGACCCTCCCATTCCGTGCTGCTCTCCAGAGGGGAGGAAACAGCTACATGAGCGTAAGGATTTGTGGGCAGCTGGGGAGAGAACTTCAAATAGTTAGGATGCCCAGAAGGTATAACTGTTTGGAAGAAGTTCAGCGCAGCTTAAAAAAAGCAAACCTCAGCAAAATCATTATCGTGGTAGGAAAACTTGATATGGCACCAGGAGTTTCACTTCCTTTTTAAGGTATTTCTCAGTCACCAGTGGAATATTTGCCACTTGTAGGTGTTCAGTTTCCATTTAAGAAAGAATTCCTCTAACAAATACTCTTATCTCTCATTTACCTGTTACTGGAAACTCCAGAGCACTAGACAAAGGAGTGCTCCCAGAAGCACGTGGTATTTGAAGCTGCACAGGGCACTGCTTTAACAACATTTATTTGTCTCTCTCCCTGAAGGCTGTTAAAGAAACAGCATTGTCCAGAGCAGTCTTGTTTGGGACAACGTTCTCCCTGCCAGCTGTGCTGACCTACTTTGTGGAAAGGTAGGAGCTACTGCTGAAGGTGCCTGCTCGGTGTTTATTCTGGTTTTCAGTCTGGCTGTTACCACTTGGCAGTTTTTCCTTGGGTTTGCACCATTACTTGCCTTGGCAGGAGTGATTATCTGTGACGTTTCTGTTCAGCTACTCTGATTCATTTAGATAAATGAATCTGCTTACGTCCGCATCCGTGCTGTGAGGGTTGGCAGGAGGTTGTGTAAAAAAACTCTGAGGGTTTCCTCTCTGCTCCATGCAGGAAACATGGTTGTGCTCTCTCCACAGGCTCTTTTCCACCTGCATTCCCTGGTGCCTGGTGTCAAGGCTGTTCACAGCACTTAGCTCAGATTTGTTATTTCTGAAGAGATAATACTGCACTTGAATGTGCAACTAAAACGGGATCCCAACTTCCAAATAGCTTTCCATGTATCTAAAACATTTTGTGGCTTTTGCAACGTTTAGAGACCTTGTATCATAAGAAGAATTCATTGTATTGTTGTAGAGAATTCTTACCCTGCCTTGAGTTTTTGGTTGGGATTATCTGCCATGTAAATAACACAGGTAATTTAGTATCACCTAAATCAATTCCCTGCCCCCCTTTCTTAGCTTAAGGGGCTCCTGTTATCAGAAGATGTACGTGCAGATGTAAGCTAAAATTTTAAAGTATCACCTAAATCAATTCCCTGCCCCCCTCTCTTAGCTTAAGCTTCTGTTACCAGAAGATACATGTGCAGATGTAAGCTAAAATTTACAAATATATCAAGTAATAAATTTTGCCCAAGGCAAAGTAGGACTGCCAAGAGGAAGTAAATCTGAAAGGAAAGAGGGTAATGCAAGAGAAATCTTAGTCAAAGGACTGAGACACTTTAAAGCACTAATGCCCCTTCTTTCATTATTTTGATCTTGCTGCTTATTTCCTTCATCTTGTATTGACAGTCTGGGCTTGGAAAATGCTGCAGCTAAATACAATGAAAGGGAAAGAACAGGAAGTGAGGAGTAAGAGCATAGGAAATAAAGTAAGAAAACATCTTTAGGATTTGTAAGCCAAGGTTATTATTAATTTCAGTGCAATTTCAACCATTAAAATAGTAGCTAATGCTCTTTGTCTCGCTGTCAGATTATTTTTTGAGCCCAAACTGACACACTTAACTTTTTCAATGTCTTGGACAGAGCAAAACTGGCAAAAACTCCACGTGCTTTGGCTTTAATGCGAATGTTTATGATTACGTCAGTACTGGCAGGGATGCTGCCCGTCTCACTGAGCATGTTCCCGCAGTGTGGGGAGGTAAGTCCTTTCACAGGAATTGATTTAGGATTGTTGTTACATTAAATAGTCATTCTGTAACTATGGCAGCAGTCTTAAGGCCACGTAGAAAATATTAATGGGATGACTGTGGCTGTGCATCTGAAATGGGGCAGCAGAGAGGCTGCTTGTGAAGGCAGGACCCCAGGAAAGGGCCACCTTCCCAGCAGGGCTTAAATGGAGGATGTAGCCCTGGAACCTGGGGCTTTGGAAAAGGCCAAGTGAGAGAGGAGCCTGGGGGCTCCTTTCTGCATTTATTTCCTCTCCCTTCTCAGCGCTGTGAGAATAGTCTCAGAAAAATCACAGACTTGGCTCTTGCCGTTTTCACTGGCTTCTTTTATTTGCCGAAACTTTCTGGCATTGTAATCTCTTGGCTTTGGATTTCTTTACCCTTGTTGCCATAAGAGATTAACTGGACATAAATGAGGGGATTTGGGAGAAGCTGTGTACTGGGAGCCTGGCTGGTGGGTTCCCTTTGAGCGTCCCCATGGCTCAGCCCACAGCAGACGTTCTGCTGGGTGAGTCACCCACATATTTACAGTTGGACTCGATGATCTTAAAGGTCTTTTCCAACCTAAATGACTCTGTAGTGAATGGAGATGACATCACTAATGCTCTGTTTAGGTCTCTGGAATACCTCTAATTTTAAATAAAGCTTATTTATTCCCCTCTGTGTGCACAAGTAGAAAATGTCAGAGAAGGAAAAAACAGCCCCAAAACAAAAAAAAATCCCTCAACTCCCCAAATAAACAGAGAACCCCAAATCCCATAGTTTTGCTTCTGAATGCAGAATTTCAGTTTGTGCAGAGTTCAGTGCAGTAAAGAGGACCTAATGTAACCCCAAATCCCATAGTTTTGCTTCTGAATACAGAATTTCAGTTTGTGTAGAGTTCAGTGCAGTAAAGATATAACATATATACCAGGCTATGGTGGTGCTGATTCCCTTGTTCTATCCATTGCAGATAAAGCGAGCAGACCTCGAACCAGAAATTCAGTCCTCTACAGAAGAAACGGAGCTGTTCTACAACAGGGGAATTTAGAGATTGGCTTTAATATATAAAAGCGTGCTCGGGTTGAAGTGAATTCTGAATGCGTCGACAAATCCAATGACTGACCAAATCAGGAGTTCAGGGTGGTGGATGTGCCAGGCCTGGTGTGGTCTGGAAAGACTTTGCAAAGCAATTTTGCAGGCCCCAGCTCCCAGGCAGATCCGTGCCTGTAACTTACTGCTGCCAGTGATAGTTGTACCAGAAAGCTCTGTAACACAGTGTTGTCACAAACTGTGTTCTGTACACCTCCTCCCGTGGTTGATTTCTTAATTAAAAAAACTATTGAATACAAAATTGCAGTTTTGGACATGCTGCTTTCCAGGAACAGAGCTGGCAAAGGCAGGAACATCAGGAGCCCTTTGGGTAAAGTCAAACTGGTTCTTCTCAGAATCCTCACTTTGTATGTTTCACTGTATTCAGTAACGCTCATCTCAAGGATGAGACAGAGTGAGGTCACCAATTAAAGTGATATTTGACAAAGCCACCCAGATGGCAATATAATATTGGTTAAATTTAGTTGTTTAAGTTCAGGAGCTGAGTGTCAAACTTGTCTCCAAAGTGACTCTTGGCTTTCTTGACATCCTTGAAGGAGTTGTGTGGCCTGATGCCTCTTGAGCTTTAGAACTTGGGCTTTTTTACACTGAAGCCACTGGGCAATCATGTAGCTTTCTGACCTTGTGGGTAGACAGTGAGGAATCCAAACTTTTGCAGGTTGATGGTGTTTATCCAAATAGAAAAGCTGCCCTTTGAGATGTGGCAGAAGGTTTAGCCTGTCAGTCGATGCGGCGATAACTTTTGTTGGTCGTAGGAGGTTGTTCAGGGGAGCAGGGCTGTCTGTGAAGAGCTGCAGAAAGAGCTTACAATGCCAGATGTAAAATCAGGTGAAATAAATACCAACTGGATCAGTGGGTGGCAGAGGGGACAATCCAGCCTCAGGGCTGGGCTCTGAGCTGACTGTTAGCAGTAGGAGTGGATTTAGGGCAGTCACAGAGAGCTCAACATGCAGTTGAACTCTGAAGTTCTTACCAAAGGGCATTAGGGATACTAAAAGCTGACAGTAAGAGGAGAAAAGGCATTTCCCTCAAAGGGCATCCATTAAAGAATACCAAATTCATAGAAACTACATGTTAAAAAAGTTCAGCAGGTTCACTGGAGGGTGGAAGGGGGAAGTAGCTTATCTGCTTGCCCTCTCTCCTGTCTGCATTTTGGTGGCCACTGGGATATGATGTTTGGCTGAACAGACCTGTGGTCTGGCCCAGAACCTCTCCTGGGGGGACAAGGTAGAAAGCAGCTCCACAAGCGTGGCAGGAGACCCCGTGGTTGCGATAGCTCTAGGCAGGGGTTGTAGGAGAGATGGCTCTGAGGTCCCTGAAGGTATTTGGTGCTGCTGTGTCTGAGAAGGATAAACATGCACTAAGTAATGTAATAATCACTTTCACAGAAATAATCTTACAAGTACAGCTCCAAAATCTGCCATAATTGAACTTCCTTAGAGCCCAAGACCCAGGGCACTGCTCTGGTGTTGCTGGAGGAGGAGATTTCTTTTCACAGTGTGAGGGAACCAAAGGTTTCCCAGTTCTGCTCCATCCCAAGAAGAAGACAGACAGCAGGACAGAGCAGAGTGAGGAAAAACAGCCGGCAGGAAAACAGTTCCTGCTGTGCTTTTGGCACCAAACAAAAGCAGGAAGTAGGGGGTTGAGTTTAGTTTCTTGTTTGAGTTCTGCCTTTTTGGAGCCTTCCTCTGACAACTGACAGCAGGGAAGGGTCAGAGGAGGAGAGGGGAGCAGCAGCCTGTCCTAAGGAGCTGTAGGAAGGCTAAGGAACAGGCTGTCAGGCTGTTCCAGGAGGACAGTGTGGGTGCTGGCTGTGAGCTGCCGAGCCTCAGGGTGGCAGAGGGTTTGCACTGCTCCACTGGTGTGAGTTTTTACAGGTAAAGGACTCTGCGGGGGACACTCAGCCTTGCCTTCCTGAGTCATGGGCTTAACCAGTAACATCCTATCAGGGTCAACAACATAAAAGCTGGGTGGGACCAGAGGCCTGCTGAGCCACGTGTCATCTCCAACAGCTGCCAAAAGGAGACAGCAGAAGGAAAGATCCCATCAGGCTCAGCTGGAGAGGACAGTAGGGAGAAGGAGGCTTTTTTTTCCCTCAGCCTGCCTCGCTCACTGAGGTGTTCATCTCCTTCCACGTCTTTAGTAACAGCTCACATTGACACTCAGGTTCTCTGACCCCCTGTTTCTCTATTAATCCTATTCCAATAACATACCAACATTAACAAACCAAACTCAGAAGGGGTCTAATTCCACTCTCAGTAAACACTAATTGGCTCTGCAATGAAGCCCCACACCTCTCCCCCGGCTCCTTTTTTAAACATGATTTAAGAACGGCTAGTTCTTAAATGCTAGTTACGTGAACCACAGCGGAAACAAAGAGGGGGAAAAAAACACCAAAACCAAAAAACAACAGTAGGGCAAAGCCAACAAATTGAAGATAACACATTCAGGAACTTTGGATCGCCATGGTAACTAGACAAGCTATAAATTCTCTGGCACCGCACTTGGATGTTTTAAGCAAATTGATGTCATTACAACTCTGAGTAAGGCGTGTGGAACAGGGCTGATAATAGTCTCTGTTATTACAGCTGCCCATTATCAAATGCCACCACCTTCTCACTGAACACTCGAGATGGAGTTTGCCACGTTAAACATGGCCCCCTCAGGGTTATTAAATGCCTCTTTCCTTTCCCTCCTCCTCAGCAACGTTTCTATTGCCCCAACCAGAATTTTCCAGAAGAGGAGGGCAGGCACCTGCCATTTAAATTGTCAGCCCTGGGTGACTCAGCTGCTTCCCAAATCAGGGCAGGAGAAAGACATTGCTAAAAAGGCCTTGGCATCCTTGGTCTTGAAATAAAATTGTCATGAGACTTCATTTCTGGACCAGCCGGGACCAGCCTCCTGGTTGTCCAGAGGGATGAGGTAAGTGAAGGGAACAAGGGACAAGCAGCAAAACATCATGTTTGAAGGACTTGGGAGGAGAGTCCACACCTGTAGGAAAACCTTCCCCTTTGTAACTCAGAAGATGAACAACATCCCAGCCCAAGGCAGGTCTTTCTCCTGCCTTTAATGCTGGCTGGTGTGTTCAGTGACAGTGTGTGAGTGGTGGAACCAGTTTAAGGTGTGGTGAACTACAAGAGACGGAAGCTTTCAGCTTCAAGGAAAGCCCCAGTCTCAGTGCAGCACAATTTGGGAGCAGTTCCCCACCTGCCTGGCTCGTCATCTTGACATTTAGGAACATGCAATGAGGCTTCCACATCCCTTTCATGTTGCTTAGAAAAAAATTAATATGTAAATCAGCCACTCCCACGTCAAGAAATAGTGAGATCAAAGCGTTTCCCCAGCTGGAGCTGGTGTCCCTGTGCTCCCCCAGGGCTGTAGCCCAGCCACGCTCGCTCCCTGCAGGCCCTGGGGTGGAGGAGGAAGGATGGAGGCGGGGAGGGAGCCCTGCACTGCAGCTCCAACCCCATCAGACACCCAACACCAGGAGCTGTTGCCTGGTTTTTGGAGTCTCCTCTCATCTGGTAGCCACGAGGAATGACCTCACCCCAGCCAGGGAACTGCCGAGGGGAGGGTATGGCAGAAGGAGGCAGCTAAAAACTTCCTTATGCTTGTTTTTTATGACTCGGCAAGACCACAACTGGAGGGATCGACTGCTCACCCCGCTCCCCTGTGCTCTGTTCTCATCCACCTTCCCCTATCTGCAGACGTGGTGCAGATGTTGTGCTACAGCAACCACCCCACCAACCTGCTCCATGGGCCCTGGGCAAGGTGGAGGGCTCGGGGAGTGACTTACGCCTCAATGCAGGAAGGAGCAGGCAATTTTCACTTAAATTCGCGGCTTTCAATTATTCTACGCGCTGCCTCGTCTCCCAGCAGGTCAACAGGATCCATTTGTATTAATCTACCATTCACCATTTCGTGTTTACCCAAAGATGAGAAGGAATGAACGAACATTTCATTTCACTTCACACAGTCTTTGCTTCTAGGAGGAAGAAGAAAGGGTGTCATCTGATTTTGTGCACATCCTGGGGAAAGGGAAGTGAGAAATAAACAAAAATCTTTCCCTGTCCTGACCTTGCAGATTTTTCTGGTTTATTCTTAACCATTTTTTTGAGAGGAAACAGCGGCAAAAATCATTAAGAAAATGCAAGGCCATTAGGACAATCTTTAGGATGTCCTGAACAGAGGGAGGCCAATGCATCTCTCTCAGCACTGACAGATCAATGTGGATGACAAAGCTGTTTGACTGCACAGCACATTTCTGACCGAAACACCAAGCTGTAGCTTAATGCCCGTGACTCAGTGGTCACAACTATTCAAGAATACATTTACATAAATTAAAGGGCAGACTGTTCAGGATTATTTTTTTTTTTAATAGACACAAGCGTGCTAGGAGTCCAGTTCCTTAAGTGCAAAATTACATTTCATTTGCTTCGCACAAACGTCAGGGCACAAGATCTAACACAACAGCAAGAGTTTCAACTTGACCATTTCCAAAAGAGAAAGCAAAGCAAGCGTTCGATGGTCACTTTGTAACTGAGCTCCTCTGCTCTTTGTGCTTGTCCCCAACACCCTCCCTACCTTAGTGACACACCTTAAGGCTTTTTGTTAATAAGAAACTACGTGCATTTCTTCACAGTTACACCGTGGCGTTAAGAGAGCTGACAGAGCACCTTCAGGTTCTTCTTGGTGAAAGACTTTTCATTTCAGTGGACTTCAAAGTAGGTCCCAAATGGAATTTTCAGCATAATTTTGCACTTGTGCTATTCCAACTATTGAGTCCCAAACCAGAAGCAGCAAGACTAAAGAACCATATAAGAAAAACCATTAACGGGCAAATGAGGGAAAAAAAAGAAAAAGCTGCAGAGCACTTAGAGGTAAACAAAGGCAACTGCAGTATTTTTCTCCAAGTTAAAGAAAAAAAGCATATGCTTCTGTGTTCAGAATATAAACTGCAAAGTGTTTAAGTAG